GCTGTCAATGAATGCTGACTGAGAAGCCAAGGACAATGGCACTGGGTTTTGATTCTACTGCATGGACTGGCTTTATGGGAGCCTGGTTTGTTTGGATGCTTACCTTCATAGACCTGGATGGAGGGGGGAGGACCTTTGACTTCCCATGGGGCAGGGAACCCTGACTGCTCTACGGACTGGACAGGGAGGGAGAGGAAGGGAGGGCGAGGAAAAAGGGAGGTGGGGAGGAGGTAGAAATTTTTAATAAATAAATTAATTAATAAAAAAATAAAGTTTTCTGTAAATTACACACTTATGTGGTTTAGAAAGTCAAGTGCAAAGACAATGAAGCAGGACTCTCTCTACCTTCTACTTGCCTTGAGCACCTCTATTCCCACTAGTCCCTTTAATTAATCTGAGTTAAAATTCTGTCTAAGGAACTGAAACTTTGCTTCCTGAAATCGAGTTTTGCCTGAGAAAAGGCCTCTCTAGGCTTGCTTGGACTTTTCTAGGACCATGTCTCAGCCCCTACTACTGCTGACACTGTGAGAAACTAGGGTCACATATAAAATCAGGAAGTTTGTTCTGTGTGTTAGTGAACTACAGCAGTGGTCCCTATACATGTTTGCCAAAACTTGCAGAACTGCACATTTAAAAGGATAAATTTATTATATGCAAACTATACTTAAATTAAAATGATGAGACTAAAAGTCCTTCCTTCTCCATTTTATTCAATCCGAATTTGATGCTTTCTCTTGTGTTGCCTCTTTAAAATTTTGATATGGTTTATTTTAAGAAATCTCTTTGCCTTGTTTTATGATTTCTACTTCTTGGGAAAGTTTCTCTCCAGCAATGATTCAATACCAGTACATTTCTTAACAGCTTTGATTAGGGTTCTACCATAAAATTGTGTGAACATCAACTCTGTAATGGTTAATTTGACTGATCTAAGGATGCCCAGAAAACTAACAAAGAGTATCAGGGTATCTCCAGCAGAGCTCAGGCTCTGAGTTAGAACCTGAGAACAAAGACTTTTTTCCCACAGAGATAAGTTCCTTTCTGTCTGCTAAAGCTGTTGGAAGAACAATTGTGTTTAAAAATGAACTTCAGACCCTATGACATATATCATAGACCATCTTTATTCCTCCCATGCCCTCCCAGGCCTTTAACTTGACTGGTTCACCTGCCCCTGGTTCTCTGGCCAACAGAATTGCTCCATTGGTTGTCCTTCTTTGTTCGCACTGAGAAGTAAATCATAGCAATGTCCAGACACCAGACTCTTATGAACCTATTCCCATAATAAACTTCTACTCAATTCCCCTCCTTCCCTCCCCACTCCTACCCACTCTATGTATATATTATTGGCTCTGTTTCTTTATAGAACCCTTCTTAATAGGGCCCCCATAGTTATTGAAAGCATGTTTTTGAGATGTATATTCTAGTTCTTGAATTTTCCAACCCAAGGCACTCAGAAAATGGCAGCTTTTGCCTAAGCCAATTCAAGCAGAAGTTTCTTGCACTCCTACTCTGTTGCTGCATAGCTACAGTTGACTGATTGCTGTGGATCCAGCTCCTCACTGTCCTCATCACCAGACTTGAGATGCACCAAGGGACTTTCCCTTCAGCAGGGGCTCACATACTTGTCTCTTCTTTCACTTCTGTCAATACAACTTACCCCTTTGTGGCTTCATAATCAACTTTTAGATTTAGGTTATCTTATTTTTTTTGCTAGCATTTCTCTATGAGTGAATCCAGAAAGTGGCTGTCACATTAACTGAAAACCCCAATCTTCCCTGATACAAAATTCTAACATTGCTTGATTTTCTTCGTACACAAAAAATTGTTCAGGGCATGGGTTTTGTTGCACAATTTGAAAAAACATTTGCCTGAAATTTAGCTAAAATACAAAACATATTTTACATACCTATTATGTGACTTCAATTTTATTTAAAATCTTCCGTACTTTAATATATGGTATTTTCTTTATTTTCTAAGGTGACTAATGCATTGGTTTTTAATACATTAGTAATTATTTTAGGTAGATTCATGTCCAAACCAATAAAGTGATTTAATCAAGTAATGAAACCTCTTTGTAACCCCAGCCATTGAAGGAAAACCTATAAGATAGATTGAGATGTATGAAACATCTATATAATGAGTTCTTTCTTACTTTCTTTGAGTAATTCAAACTTGCAAATTAAATCAGAAATATTTTAAAACAATGTTTCTTCCTTGCTTTATTTTTTTAAAAGAAAAATAAATGTGAAGTTGATAAAGAAGGTGCCCAACGACACTAAGTTAATAATATTGTATAATAGATCAGTAGATTTAGAACATCTAACTGGAAAAGCTGGAAATGAGAAGTTTAGAGTTCAAGGAGGTCTGCAATGTAACAAGCTTAATCAAAGGAAAAGATGTGAAATGTTCACAAAGAGCGTCTGCAGAGCCACCACACAGAAAGACTCTGCGAGTGTTGGGAAAGAATGGCAACTTTCTCCTATTAAGGAAAAATAAAAATAGGTCACGTCATTGACCTTGGCCATCCTCTGGCATAGTCATGTCACCGTCTTAACAAAGAGCAGAGCATAAATGGCCGAAGGCTCTCAACATGTGAGAGCAATTCTGAAAAGGAGTAGGAAATCAATTCATACTAATTTTAACTCCCTCTTGTTTCTGCAAAGCCTCATCTTGATTCCTTGGTGAACTTTAACACTCTTAGTCTCCTTGACACAGTTCAGTTTTCACACAGTTCTCCTTAGTCTACAAAAAAAGATCGCTGGACCATAGATAGAGCAACAGATAAACATGACCCATCTTGTACTAAGAACGAACAATGTCACACTGAACTGAAAGAAAGGAATTATACAGGGTAAATACAGTCCATATCATGAGAGTGGATCACAGGCAGACATACACTAAGGCTTGCCTTTTATAAAGGCATGGCAGCTTCTTACCCTTATCATCAAAAATACCACCAGAAAACTGCTCAAGTATTAAAGACAGTCACTCTCCTGCAGCACTGCCCACTGCAACCGAACAGCTCACACATTGTGTGATCAATCAATGGCAGAAAAAAAAACGCCCTTTATATGGAAATCTTTGTCCACGTTTGGCTGAGAGCTGCAGTGATGAGAGAAGTATATGTGACTGTTCAATAAGGCTTTGTTTTTTACAAAACGCTGGCTGTTCTGCATGGCAAAGGCTCTCAGTGTATAGTATGTCCCTCTGTGTCTCTCTCTGTAACACATACACACACACACACACACACACACACACACACACGAGGAGGCAAACGTATAGAACATAAACTACCTATTAAGTCTGTGAGGAATTTGGACATCTGATTTTTAGAATTTTCATCTCTAGGAGGAGAGATCATTTCACACCTTTCAGTATCTCAGGATGTCCTCTTTAAAACAAAATGGCAAGTGTTGCCAGAAAAAAAAAAAACCTCTATATTCTATCTTCCCCTCTAGTATGTTCACAGTCTGTATTTACCAGTAGCACCAAGATAGTCTTGAAGCATGAAGCAAGTCTTCCGAGATGACTAAGTTTAATCAGTGCCCACTAGAATGCAGTACCTGTATGTGGTATCATATGGCACTAAGGCCATAAGATTCTATACCAACAATGATATTTTTTTTTTGTCTCTGTGGACTCAGCTGTGTTCACCTCAGTGCATTTACCAAATTAGAGTCCAGTGAATGTTAACAGGCATGAAAATAACTTGACTTTTTGCAACCTAAGTTTAATAAATATTGTTCTGTTTTGATTTACAATTAAAAAAATGAACAGGTTTCTTTGCTACAGAACGTGGCTCTGTGATTGACCTTCCATTCCCATGCCTAGAAATTTTTTTCTACCAACACTTGGGAAATTCTCTGGTAACTAGAGGCTTTATTTGGTTCTCCAGAATAGAGACTGTGAAACTAAAACTTGGAGGAAGTCAGTAAATCACCTGGTGGGCAATGATGGAGCCAAAGATCATAAACACTGACTTTCAAATCACAGATAGAACTTGGAACAAATTATCTAAAAGTTAAAATATACAGTTAGGAGACTAAATATACAGACACACACATGTCTGAAAGATTCCAAGTTGAATGACAAATATATCTGCAAGTATATATTATATAAAGCACATATATTTTCACATTATCTAAATATATTTTAAAATGCTGGAACATAAGGTAAAAATACAATTCCATCAAAACTTGAAATAAAAGTATATCACTGAGATTACTTCCTACACAAAACATATTATGCAAAACCTTTATTTGGTGTGCCAAAAAGACTTAAGAGACGGTTTTCATAAAACAGAAGCAGAAAATCAAGTGAAGGTAAAATATGTGATTAAATTGAACAAGAAAATCAATCCATTTTTAAAATGTGCAAATGATCAAGTATGAAAAGCTTAAAATTAATAATTGAACCAAGAAAAAACAAAATTAGCATTAGGAAAAGGAAATTAATATTAAGGAAAAGAATTCAAATGATTCTCATGGATTAGAAGAAACAACTTAGAAAAATAAAGTCCCAGCTTTGGAAATTGTAATACACCCCCTAACCCCGCTGTAATGCTTCATATTTATTTATCATCACCAGACTTTGCCCAGCTCTAACCATCAGTGAGTACTGCAGCCTCCTGAACATTAGAGTACTCTTTCTTGGCCCTAGTTTAAGATCATATGCTATAGAGTGAAATGCCAGGCAATTTCCCTTTCATTATCTCCCACAAATTACCTAAACTCTCTACACCTTGAGCAGTCTGTCTGTCAAGCACAACTACCCCATGTATTTCCATCAGCCCCTATGCTCTGCCTCCATTCTTCCAAGCATCAACATTCCACTCCTTCTCCAAATCTGGAATCAGATTTCACTGTCAGTGGCCATCCCCTACTTTCCTAGTCTAGGATAGAAAACCTAAAGTACCTGATTTTTAAAGATCAGGTCTCCAGGTCTAGACCTTATTATTTCATTTTCCCCACTGAAAATAATAGTAAACCTTTAAAACTAAAAGCAAAATTTATAGAAAATGTACATTTATTAGTAAATAAAGAGATTAATGACAAATACCCAGATAAGCAGACATCTTGGACCAAAACAACGTGTGTAGTCACAAGTAGTATTGGAGCGGTTGGTTCCTAGATGGTTCCAAGGGAAAGATGCTGGGCACTGTCGTAGTTAGCATTAGTCATCACCTTGGTACATCTGGAAAAAAAGAATCTCAGTTTCAGAACTCTCTCCACGATAATAGCCTATACATGTGATGATTGGAGCATTTTCTTGATTGCTGATTGATGTTCAAAGGCCAAATCCACAAATCCACTGTAGGCAGTACCACCCCTAAGCATGTGGGCTTGGGATATATACAAATGTACCTGAAACCGCTGAGCATCATCCTCCATGGTCTCTGCTTCTGTCCCTACATTCAGGCTCCTGCCTTAAGTTCTTGCCCTGACTTCTTTCAGTTGTGAACTGTTACCTAAAATTGGAAGTGAAAAGAAGTCCTTCCCTTCCCGAGATGGTTTTGGTCAGGGTTTTATAACAGAAACAGAAAAGCAACATGAGACAGACATGATATAATAACAGCATGTCTTCCATGGGAAAATGCCAGTATCCAAGTTGTCTTAGTAATTACTTACCTTCAATGGAAGCTGTATTAGCAGTCTAGCATGTCATATTCCAATTGTCAAATTTCAAAAGTATGTGATTTTTAAAGACATAGCTTCAGGAGGAAAACTAAATTTGAAGTGGGCAATTTTTAAAAGGGTAGAATTTGAATACTAAGAAAGGAAAGCACTGGATTATGGTAAGGTGTGAAACTCTCCGTTGCTTTACAGTGAAAGATGAGTAAATCAGAAAAGCCAAAGATGAAAAGGTATGAAAATCTTTTAACTTGCCACCAAAACTTAATACTATGTCTGTCTTCCTCCTTACTTCACGTGTTAAAGGAAAACCATGCTACAGTTAAATTCACCCTCTGTGAAGCGAACTTTTTAATTTAATTTCTGAATCTTGCTAATTCTCTTTGACAAAGATTCTAAACCCTAAGTGTCTCTGTTCCCATAGTGACAACAGAAGTTGCTGCACTCTAAAGTAGTTCTAGGGACTGAGTCCAGGCAGGTTAAAATGGTGCCTGATGCATTTTCATATGGCCATCTAAAGTCCCAAGACATTTCCCATGAAGGTTAGATATTCTTCAGCTTTAAAATTAAACTCAGTCCTTTTAAAACCAGAAAAATAATGGCCCCATCTGGTGCCCCTTTGAAGACAGAGGCCAGCACCAGCTCAGCCTTGCCACCACTCTCTCCCTACTACACACCTGGGAGCTTCTATGTCCTCCGTGCACCTTCACTCATTTCCACTGATGATCTGGAAAATCCCAAGCACGGTTGCAATCGAGTAAGATACTTCCAGGCTTTAGGGAGCTCACGGAAGTCAAGCCGCTCCAGAAAATGTGCATTCCTGCTTAACCTGAAAAGACACAGCAAAATTTGCATTAAAATATTTAAAAGTTCTTTTTAAAGTCCACTGCATGTAAGCTCTTGGCTACACCCACTCAAAGGAGTAAGCAAGTCACTAATCTGATTTGCAATTTGGAATCGACCTCTCGATAAAAGTGTTCAAACAGGCGCTTGCTTCCCATCTCTCAGAGGAATGAAGATGTGACTGACATGGACTGAACCTCTCTCTGGGGACACTTCTCTTTAGGGGGCTGAGATCACAGAGTTCACCCTTGTGGCACCCGCAGCTCTTTGATTTTTGTCAGGGAGGCTTGCCACCAGAGCACAAGGCAGAGCAACGTGAGGGGATGTCTCCGTGTTCCTTAATGAAAAGCTAGTTTGGAGAAGGGGGTGGGTTGGAGGGTAGATTTCAAAGAGGGGAAAGGTCAGTTCTTGGTCAAAGTGTGAGGGGCTTATGGAAGAAAGAAAACTTCGAAAATAAAGCATTAACATAAATTACCGAAAGCAGACTTTTGAAATCACACAGAAAGAGATGAAGCAACTCTACCGTGATCAAGGCTTCCCCTTTCCAAGGCTGTTCCCAGCTTTTGTCTTCTGATGACTTTATAAAAGTACCAGAAACATTTATAGGTGGTTCTATTCGACATTCTTCAAGAAAACTTTGCAGTCACTGAAATTTTAAAAGGTGCCTCTTCTTTGCAAAGGATGAGTGATGAGGTCATGGCTTGCTTTCCAGAAAGAAAATAAAATCTGTAACTTTGCTGAGAGGAAGGACTACCTTTGCTAGGAGGGGAATCACATTGAAACAATATTATAACACGGACTGTATTTATTCAAAGTCATAGGGGTGTCAATTCAGGTCAGCAAGGTAAACTCAATAACCCATAATTCAAGCAGATAGTGATGTGTCCGAAGAGAAGAACCTTTGTTCTTAAGAATGGGAACCTAAAATAGCTGCTGTCTTGCATAAGCTATAGAATGAAGACAGCGGCCAGTCTCTCATTTTCTACCCTAATCCACTCAACTAAATGACAGAAGAAAAATACTGATAAAGAGCCAGAAACAAAACCTCGGCTAAGCATAAAGGAAACAGCATCTCTTCAGATTTTCTAAGAAAAAGTCGATAATTTGTCCTCAAACACTTTCATCTCTGGGTCCCTGTGAACCCTTAAGAATGCATGAAGACACAACCAATATTTGTTTACATGAACTATAGTTTTTCAATAATCTCAATTTTGTAAGTTGAACCTAAAAAATTATACATTTATTAGTATATTTCAAAACAATGTCAATCTATTATCATACAAATAGCATATTTTTACAAATGATACAAATATCTTACACAAATGTCTTTTCACATCTGCAGCTGTAAAGACAGTCAATTGTATGTGCTGCCCTGTCCCACCTGCTGTGATAGCTCTGGCTTAGGTTTGTGGTGTGGTTTTATTGTTTGACTTGTATTGTTTCATAATGTTTGCTCGAGATAAGTTCTCCCCAATTAGCCCAGGCTGGTCTCAAACCCACAATCCTCCTGCCTCATCTTGCCTAACACTGGGATTACATGTGTTCAGTACACAATGCCTGGATTATCTGCTATGACATCTTAAGTTTTGATTAAAAAAATTCAAGAAAATTCTGTCACACAAAGTATTATAGGAAAGACACAAAGTATTTTAATGTTCTTTTCAGACCATTTTAGGTTTTTTTCACTATACTAGCATATACCAGATGCAGTCTGTAAGACAAGACCATATCAGTGAATCCTCGAATAAAATCCAGAAATCAACATGCAACTGTGAGCAAACTTCTTTTCATTCATGAGTGATTTTTCGAAATCATGCTATAATCATTTGCAAAGAACACTTCACTGAATTACATCCGTCTTCAATCACATGATACAGTTTTTAAATCGCATTGATTAGTATCACTATTATTCTCAATAGAAAAAAAAAGTACTTTTGGAAAACTACCAAGCTCAGACTATTAGATAGAGGCTTTTTACAAAACTTTTGCTTGAAAGTTTAAATTATATCTTTGGACACAAATGCAACCAGCTGTTTTTCTTGAACAGTTTTACCTTGTACATTATCAAAAAAAAATATTACCAATATTTTACTAGCTTGTCAGACACTGTGTCAAATGAAACTGACTTTACACGATAAAAAAAAAAAGTCTCCTTCATCTCAGTCTTCAAGTGACCACATCAGGGTATTTACTCAAAACAGGTACTTGCTCCCTGGCCACAGGAAATATTAACAATCCTGCACTCAAGAATCAAGTTCCAATGACGGTACTATGATTCCCTTCTTTACCAGGAACACTCTGTGATGCTGCCTTTCCTTGTCTCCATTTTGTTTGTGAGTCCAGGTTAGTATAGATATCTGGATTCAAGCTATGACACCACCGTCATTCCCTGCCATCACTTTTGTGCTCTCAAGACGACAAAGGACCAGGCGAAAAGATGCGTTCTTGTTATATGAAATGGTACTTGACTTTACAGCCTCCACTAGGGTACTGCAGACACTTGGGACCAACAGGCCACACAGATAACATGGAAGGGATCTAAAAAACAAGCAGCTACTATGACAGTTTTGACTCGGGAGCAGAGACAGTGTCTGGCCTGGATGCTGACTTGGCTTGTTAGAGAGTTGTCCTTGGTGTGGTGGCCTAGGCCTCTCTTTAATCCCAGTGTATAAGAAGTAGAAGCAGAGAGATCGTTGTTAATTCAAGGCAGTAAACCTAGTCTACAAAGTAAGTTCCAAGCCAGCTGGGGCTATAGAGTGAGACTCTGCTTCAAAGAAGGGAGGGGGAACCTTAGTTACTAGAAACACTTGCCACATCCTAAGAACACCAACTACGTACGGCTCACATTTTCAAACATAAGTCTTGAGTGATTAAAAAGGGAATTGGGGGCTTGAAAGATGGTTCCGCAGTTAAGAAAATGTGTCGCTCTTTCGAATTGAAGTTTGGTTTCCAGAATCACATAGGGCAGCTCATAACCACCTGTATGTTAATCCAGATCTAGGGGATCTGACCTCTTTTTCTGACTTCCATGGGCACCTGCATGCCTATGTACATACAAACACATATGCATGCACATAAATAAAAATAAGTACATTTAAAAGAAAAAGGGGGCATTGATTACTACTTAGAAATAAATAAAAATTTTAAAGAATTAAGAAATCATTAAATATTCCTGAAGAGATGGCTCAGGCATTCAGATAGTTAATAACATATAGTGTTCTTCTAGAGGAACCTAGTTCAGTTCTTAGTAGCCACATCAGGAAACTCACAGCTGCCTGTAACTTCAGCTCCAAGGGGATCTGATTCCTCTGGTTTCTGCAAGCACCTGTACTCATGTGCACAAATCTATGCACACAGTGCACTAATTAAAAAAGAGCAAAAATAAATATTCATAAATGGTGTAGGAGGGTCTTCTTTCTATGTGTTGCTTTCATTGGTCAAATAAAGAAACTGCCTTGGATTTAGGATAGGGCAGAATTTAGATAAGTGGAATAGACTGAACAAAATGCTGGGAGGAAGAAAGCAGTATGGCAAACACTATGGCTCTTCTCTCCAAGACGGATGCTGGTTAGACTCATGCCGGTAAGCCACAGTCAAGTGGCAATACAGATTATTAGAAATGGGTTGATTCAATATGTGAGAGTTAGCCAATAAGAGGCTAGAACTAATGTGCCAGGCAGTGTTTAAATGAATACAGTTTCCATGTAATTATTTTGGGTAAAGCTAGCCGGGAGCTGGGCGGGGAGAAGCAGCCTGCCACTCCTTTTACTACACATAAAAAAGAAATGATGCAAAGAAAAAAAATCAAAAGTTGGGTAGAGTTGAAATAGTGAGCATTTGCTTATTACTGAAAGTTTTTCTGGGTTATTCTCATTTTTATAGCATGCATTCATTACTATAACAGGAAACAATATCAATATATAAAATGCATTTTGCCATCTTGTCAGTAATGGGACTATTTTAAAAATATGCTGCCACTCTCTTTAACCCCTATAAGAAATTGTTGATCAATATAAATAAATCTGATTTTTAAAATGATAGACAGTACTTCCTTGGTATAATAGCAATTTCTTTTTAATTCCTTATACATCCACATGTTCCATATTTACATTCAAATATTATCTCAGAGTTTCTATTGCTGTAAAGAGACACTATGACCACAGCAACTCTTCTAAAGGAAACATTTGATTGAAGTTAGCAGCTCTCTTCATCAGGCATTCCATGACTCTGGCATCTCTACCATCTTGGGTTCTCCAAGGTAATCCAGACATCAACTTCACAGCTTCACACAATGGCCTCTTCACCAGGCCTCCATTTGGGGCACTCCTAACAATGCCTGGCCTCAATGGCTTTTCTTAGATACAGAGGCAAATTCCACAGCCCCTTTCTTCTATCCTTAACTTTAATGCTAGAATCACATGGCTGAAGATGCCAAGTTCTGTTATTTATTCAGGATGGAACATTGCCCTCTTGTTCAATTATATCTTCACCACATTTCCTTTTTTGAGTGTTACCTTTACTGTTTAAGCTTGGCTTCCTAAAACTGGGTCGGTAGACTAGGCTGGCCTTGAATTCAGAGATCTGCCAGCATCTGCCTTCCCAAGGCTGGGATTAAAGGTATGCACCACCACACCTCGCTCTAAACTTTTCTTCAGTTCCATTTCACAAGTCGGAAACTTACCCAGTTGTGATCTTACCTTGAGTTCACCACTCCCTTTATTTCATTTCTTAATCTGTTGATTTTCTTGAACACAGGACTTAATTCCATTCCACTTTCTGGTGTTTCTTTTCTACTTAAATTTTACATTTTGCAATTTACCCTGCTCGACAATTTTCAATTTACCCTTATTCCTTTTCATTATAAATCTTCATTAGTTAATACTAGTAACCACACAACATTGTCTGTGCAAGGCTGTTTTGAGATTTCCTTCACCAATGGAATTAAGCCAAAACTCTTCACTTTAGTCTCAAACTTTTCAGACAAGGGCAAAAAGCAGTCACTTTTTCCACCAAAATCTCACATGAATAATCTCTAGGCATCAGACTAAAATTCTCCTCTAAATCCTCTTGATCCAGGCCTCCACAGTTCAAATCCCCCTCAGCACCACTGTCTTCCAAGCTTCTACTAGTATGGCCCATTTCACTGCCTTCCTAAACTAAAGTACCAAAGTCCAAATTCCTCCAAACAAAAACATGGTCAGGCCTATCATAGCAATACCCCACTCCCAGTACTAACTTCTGTCTTAGTTAGGGTTTCTATTGCTGTGAAAAGATACTGTGACCACAGTAATTCTTATAAAGGTAAACATTTAATTGGGGTGACT